ATATATATATATATATATATATATATATATATATATATATATATATATATATATATATATATATGACTCAACCTTTTCTATATTATTATTGTCCAGAGTAATTCTGTTTTTACTTACGATATTTCATTGTCATTCACTTGATGATAATAGTTATTCTCCCGGATGAGCCTGTAACCCCTAAAGAGCGGGTCTCCAGGTGGCGTATAGGGAAATGTCCAACCTGGTTTATCGGGGGGTCGGAGAGAAATAAAATATCTTCCGTAGATCAACACGTACTTGTTAACCCGCCTGGTCAGCAGGACAAGTTAAAGCTAAGAGACCCCTTATGAAATGTCGAATATACGAAACGAATTACCCCAGGCGCGTAGAGATAGTGCTCGAGGTTACTTATGTATAATATTAATAAATAAACAGCGCGAAATAGCGTGAACAATGATAATAAATAAAAAACGTAAACAAATATAATTGTTAATTTCATGAGAAACTATATCTTGTATAACCATGGCAACATTGGACACACTTAGCTATAATAAATAAGTATATTCCTTGTATAATTTTCATTATGAAAATGCCGTTACAAATAATATCTTATTAAAATGGAAAATACAGAAAAATTAGCATATAGCTTCTCATAATATGCATTGTAAATTGATCAATGACTGAAGCGGAATCTATTGATATATGTACCTTTCAGATTAATAGGACAGACTGACAGACTCATTATCCAAACTAGTTCCAATGTTTAAAAAAACTGAAATGTTTATACAAAAAGGGGAGAAATGCACTTCAACAAATGCCGCAAACAAAATAATTATTCGATAATGAAAACCTCACGATTCAAGTAGCTTACTGTTCCACGTCGATTCTTGTCACTTAAAACGGAGCAACATGGTCACGATCAGCCACCGGACCGAAATGATTTTTCCCACAACAATCTGACGGTTGCGTATTAGATCTTTGACCGATTAAAAATTAAACAAAAGTATTAAACGGTTGCAAGTGTCTTGCACATAATTAGGATGAATTACAAAAGACGCCTGTTTCTCAGTGCTGAATTCAGATTGTGACATTAAAGTTGGAGGTTACTAATTTTGTTTGTGTTTCAACAAAACGTTACAAAAACAAGCAATGAACAATAAGAAATAGGTATTATATATGTATAATAAGAGAATGTCATGTTCTTAGTAGCGTTTTTAATTTGGATTTAATTGGGCAATGTCGTACTCTGGGTGCCTTTATTATTCCTCGTAGTATGACAACTGCAACTACAACTAAAAAAGTAAGTCAATTGTTAATTTAATAAACTCTATATTATTAAGTAATATTTTTTTTAAATGTGGTCGAAAGAAAATTATAAAAGTTTTTAATTTTTTCTTTATAGTTGCCAAAGGTCTTCTTCGGTACGTAGCTGTATTTTTACCAATCATGTTTTTAATGGGCAGTCTTGCCAAATTTAATACTATTTGATCATTAACTTGTCTTATGGACCATATCAAAACAATTTACAACAGAACAAAAATAGAAAGTAAGAATTGAGATCGGTAGTGGAATATTTTACAATACCCCTAAAATGTTTGCTTTTTCTCTTTTTATTCTTAATACCATAATACATAATACATTGTCGATTTTATTTGCATTTTTAATATATGCTTAAAATTTTTGTTATATAATCATTATAGACTTTTCTGGAACTTTGCTCTGTTCGTTTGATAAAAAAAAACGCAAATTTTAATTAATTATTCCAAGTATGCGATTTGAAACTGAATTGAAATATTAAACAAATTAACATCAACATTCCAAGGTAGAATCAAGACATACCAGCCGAGTACGAACATTATAACAGATTTCTGTTATTTAATCAGTATCATAAAAAATATTTAAAGGTGCTTCCGTACAATTATTACGTTATGTTTAAATTAAATATAGAGGATATTTAGATATAAAAGTATTTAAACTATTTAGTGCAGATTTTATCCAATATATATTATAAATAATGTTGTATACTTTCAAAAACATGTTAACGGCATTTTATTAAATGGAGTTTTTATAGGTACATGTACAAAATTTGTCAATAGTGATCTCAAGTAAACAGATTTGTAACGAAAGAGTTTGAAGTTGCTATTTAGGAATTTTACTTTAAAGCGATCCAACATTTCGCTCATCCAAAAAACAATTTTATTAAAAATTCTGAAAGTGTTGCGCTTTTGCGCTAAAAAAATAAAATAATGGCAACCATCGGTCTAGTATTAAAAAATATTTATTATTACTGGCACATTTTCAAAAACTGTGAGACCTTTTTGTGGTTGGGTCCCTTTATGGAAGATAAGGATGCCTTAGCAATAAACAGGTTGTATTACCCCATTTACGACATGCCTCTAAAAAGTGTGACTATCCATCTTTTCGTACGATAAGAATGGATCACTACCAAGCAAAGCAAAAAAACTTTACGAAACTAGATACCGTGTTTCTTTATTCTTATACGGTCGAAAATGAAAAAAAAAAGAACTAGTCACCATAACCACTAACCAAGCACAAAATGTATCCAGCTAGCTAGCATGAGTGCAGCACCAAAAAAAGCTTGAAGTGCCTGTTGAAGCAAGGTTTTGGTCCAAAAGAGGCTCGATAGCATAAGTTAAAGCCTACCAAAAAGTCACAATTGAGATGTAAAATATACACAATAAATCTTTCAGGTTGCAGAGTGAACAGGTCTACAAGGTCAAACGATGTCTTTATCTAAAATTTGCAATCTACAATCTACACTCATAATACCTTAATCTGTAGGTAGCATCGATCAATAGCAAAAATTTGTTTTTACTCAACAACGTGTTTACTCTCTTCCAAAATTATGGACTGTTGCTAATAGCCGAGGTATGCTTATAATATTTTTTATGATATCCTTCTGTGCCACCGCATCTGTTAGCTATTACATATCATTAAAAGTGCTTTTCTCTGAGTCCCTCTAATTTTGTAGGCGAACTTTTCGGTACAAGTGACCAAAATTATACTAAAATATAGTTTTATATGTTCGTTTAGACTTGTTATAAAATACATTATTACACCATTAATTTTAATTTTACACATAGTTCTAAAAAATGACCACTTGATTTGACCATTACATACTTTTTTCCGCGTCGTGCGTCATTAAATTTTAACATTATGCAAAAATTTGGTGTTACTTGTTGACAATGAATCATTTTCCTGGTCAAAGGTAGGTCCTTTGTATTCGATTACTTATAAATATTTAACACTTGACATATAATAGATGATAAAAACACGAAATTAACAAATAAAATTATCGATTTTTTCTTCTAGAACCCATTTCTATTAATATTAGGAATAATTCTTAGTTTATGAAAATTACTGATTACCTAACGAGCTATCCGCTTAAAGTATTACTTCACATTCTCCACACACGAATATATAGAAAGCTGGAACAACTAAGATGCGAGACACAATTTGGTTTCAAAAGCGGAATAGATAGACGAGAAGCAACTTTCCGCTTGATACGCTTTCAAACCTGAACAGACCAACGAAAGGATTTATTCATCACATTTCCTGATTATGAAAAAGTGTGTGATACTGGTAAAATAGGGCGCAATGATAAAAATGTTCACCAACGCTAATATTGACGAAAACAGTACAAGAGACATCCATAACCTGGATTGGAACTAAAAAGCTGAAGTGAGGCTAAATAGATCAGGGATGTATTTTGTCTCCTGTGATGTTCGACCTTTACGTGGATAATGTTTTTGCAGAGGCGTTTGAAGGGTCTGAATGCGGTGTGAAGGTGAACGGATATCCAATAAATAACATTCGTACCTGATAACCAACATTCTTACCCGATAAATAACATTCGTTACAGCGACGACATCGCAATAATTACAGATAACGAACATAATGTGCAGTGCAAAATAAATAAAAATATACGACTTGAAGATAAATGCATGAAAAAGTAATTACATGTCAGTAAAAAAAAAGTATTTTTATGAGCTCAACTGCAAATATATATTGCTCCAATCGAGCAAGTGACAACGTTCAAATCATGAGAATGATATCAAATGCTCAATGGATATATTGGGCAACAAGAAATAAAATGCCGTATCGAACAAACAAGAAAAAATTTTTGGTAAATTTAAACCGCTACTAAATTATGTACAAGTAATATTTTCTTTTTATCTCCACTGCACGATGGCTAACTGATATGTGCGGTTCTAATTTTATCACGGCATGGAGAGCATGAAAGTTAAAAATATCTTTTATTAATAAGATGAAGGCTTTCGAATCGTGGACTTGGCAAAGTTTTCATATACCACGGACGGATAGGGTGAGAAACAAGTAAGTTTTAAAAAGGGCAAATAATAAAGTAGAATTGCTTAACTTGACAAAGGTACGAAAATTTAAAGACCTAGGCCATGTTTTAAGAGAGAAAATATGGCAATTCCTCATCTTATCTAAGGAAAGATTAGGGACAAGAGAGAAGAAGGTTGCAAATACATGTCGTAGCTACAGAATATAAAAAAACTAAGAAGATGCACGACACTATGAGAAGTACAGTTCTTCCTTAGTTGTTGAAACACTAGTAACATTAGTAGTAAAATTATATTAGTTGATTGTGGTGGTAAATGTCGGTCTAGCTGAATTGTTTTCAAATAAAATTATTCGACACAAATCATAAATAGCTGACACAACAAAAAAGCAGTCAAATTATGAAAGATAAAGCGCCAACAGATATGAAAAATGATGACACAGCGGCATGTTTTGGTTAATAATATATCAGAATACAAAGTGTATCAGCAATCCCCAGTTATAATTTTAAGCACAAACATACACTGGAATAATAAAGAAGAGTTAGGACTGTAGTGAAAAAATACAAATTCTACAGAAAGTGACATATTCGTTACTTTTTCACTTCTTGTTTATTTATTTGCTTATAATTTGCTAATAATATAGTCAAATAAAAAACTATTCAGATATAAAAATAAAATATTAACAGTACTTACACCATTTCCTTAGGAAAGCACTGGATAGTTTTGCACATAACTTTTCCCTTCCTTTCATTTTGTTTACCTAAATTGTCTTTTAACTACGTAAAACTATTGAGATTCACAAAATACTACTACAGGTACGTAACTGTATAGAAATTATTGGCACCACCTCATTACACGATCGTCGGCTCCAGATTATCTTACCTAAAACAAAATATAAAAAGTTAGTTGAAAATTATAATGGAGATATAACAGTCAAAAGAGAAATTAAATTGTAACAAAATGTTGATTTGTTCTTTTAATAGGAAAAAATTGTTGTATGCTTCTCAAACGTTCAAAATTCTGGTATAGTCTGTTTAAAAATGATTCATACTTATTGTATGAAATAATTGATAGTATTTATAGTATTTATGACCTCAAAGTAATGTAATAAACCGGTGACGAAAAATTTTAAAGTTATTTAAAATTTTTGATTACGAATTTTGCAGTAATTTTCATTAATCAATAATGTGAGTACCTACCTAATCTGTTCAGGTATAAAATATTATCATTATGAAGTAGACCTTAATAACGTGCAGATATATTAATTATGTACTATTAGGGACCAAAAGCAAAATTAAGTGAATTCATGTAATGAAAATAGCACAATTGTCTAATTTTACTACGGTGAAAATAAAGTACCATTTAACAGTACATTTAATGACTTAGTGTTAAATAAACATGATGGTCTTGTACATGGACAGTGTGCACACCCCACTAGTACTGTTCGACATACAGTTTCTTCTAAGTATACAACTTTTACCGGAGCTGTAAAAGTATTCTGACCCTTTAACAGGATCTCCAAAATACAATATCGAACTTTAGTAGATACTGCGAAAAATTAATTTATATCAAAAATATATTTCTTTGATATAGACAATTGAAGTTGAAATTCAAAAAGTAAAAATTCACCAGATGTTTTTTCTACACATTTGTTTCTTACATATTACATTTATGTAACTATACCTAACACTATAACAATGAAAATAATTGATTATAGAAACTTTGTTATTCTTCTTCAAATAAAGTTTATTATATTTAAAAATGTTTACTGTTACCATACCCCAAGCTCGTCACAACTTACCACAGATTGGGGTAAATTGAGACAATATGTACATATGATTTGTAAAACTATTTACATACTATAAGTTATTTCTTAAAACTTGCTAATATCCTCAAATAATGATTCCCAATTAAAAATAGTACCTCAGTTAAGTAATTTAATAACCCTAAAAATTGCAAAAATTACACGAAAAAAATGTTAAAAATTATTTTTTCCAAAGGGACAAAACAGGTTACATTGTACATTGAGGTTAATCTTGACATTTACAATTAGTCATTTTAAATTTAAAATTTATTTTGTGCTCAGCCTGAGGCCTTCTTTGAGTCAATAAATCAAAACTTGTCCTATAGTATAGATCTAGTTTTACCTATAATGCCCTATGATACCTCGTATGCCGCTATACGGTCGTTAATAATGAAAATACTTTGTTTGTTGTTTCTGTCTTAATATATTCGTTATATCATTTCCTTTAATCACAGCACCACACGCTGCAATCGGCGAAAGAACAAAGGAGATAATGGTGTAATGCTCTCTTGGCAATGCTGCAATTTGTGTTTTTTTGTCTTAGAATATTCGCTACCCCCTCCTGTCCAATGGTGTATGATACGTCAAGATCCCCATCAAAAAACGCTCAAAAAATGGGAAATGAAGCAGAAACGGTATAGTAGCGTTTGTAGAGTTATAGCTTTTACTTAATTTTATTTAATTTTACTAAATTTTATTTAATTGTTATTTAATTTGACGTAATTCTGTTAAGTTCTGTAGTCCTTAATTCTATTTCCCTTTATTTAATTTAATTTAATTTTATTTAATCTTATTTGGTTTTAATTTTATTTTACGTACTTTGGTAAAAGGTTGAAATCAGTTAAACATCATTTTATTTTTATAGTAAGGCTATGTTTATCTTACCCAATGACATATAATAAATATATATTATACGTCATTGATCTTACCTTATAATTACAGTAACCTATATTTTTAGCAATTTTGCGAAAAAATTAATTGCTATGAAGCAGTAAAATCTCTAATTAACAATATTTGAGTTGTCATAAAACCTGAAACGAAACATAATAGAAACGGAAATTTAAAGGCCGAAGAACAAGGGAACAACAGAAAAAAATACTCTCTGAAAAAAAAGTATACTAAAGGTATCTTTTGGTAAAATACAGACAACCAAAACTACAGGAAATGGTCCAATGGAGGTTCCTACTACTGTTAATCAACGAAGAAAGTAAACAATCTAATGATTACTAATGAATTAGTGTAATGTCAATTTGAGACTGGGTAATTAAATCATATCTCTTACTCTACTATGGTATATAAACCATAAATTAGAAATACTAACAACTACAAATTACATAGAGAAAGGGTTTTTTACACAGATGTCACATTTATTATAATAATTTAATATACTTAGTATACTTCATAATGAGCACATATTTCGAAAGAAAAGAAGTACACAAGGAAACATGGATATCGCCAGATAGAAAGACTAAAAACCAAATAGACCACGTGCTCATCGAAAAAGAGGAACAGCAATGTATAAAGAAGATAAGAACATACAGAGGACCAGACGCTGACTCAGATCACTACATGGTGGGTATCAAAATTAAGCAACTGATACAGAAAACAAAAACAAAATAAATAAAAAGAAATATATACATAACCCAATTCGATTAGCAACAAAAAAAGAGCAAGAAATATACGAGGAAACAATGGAAAGAGAACTAAAAAAGATACAAATAGAAGAGCAAACTGAGAACAAATGGGAAAACATAAAGCAAATAATGAACAAAGCAGCAAAAGAATGTGATAAACAAGAGAATAAAAAGATGAAAGACTGGTTCGACATAGAGTGCCAAAAAGAAATAGAACTAAGAAAATCATTAAGGATGGAAATGATCACGAAAGAAACAATAGAGACAAAGAATAGATATAGGGAGCAAAGACAAAAAGTAAAGAGGGTGCTGAGAGAAAAGAAGAGAAAACACATAGAAAATAAGCTAAAAGAAATAGAAGAGAATTACAGAAATAAAAAAATAAAAAACCTGTATCAAGGTGCTAGAAATGAAAAAAAAGGTTTCCAACAACAACCCATATTCGTTAAAAACAAAGCAGGAAATAATATAAGCGGGAAAGCAGAAATAGTCGAAAGATGGAAAGAGTATTTTGATGAATTACTAAATGGTAATAATAAGTCAAACCAAAGAGAATATATGCAAGCAGAAGCAAGAATTGAACACATAGACGACATAGAAGATAATTCACCCAGCAAAAAACAAATCGAGGAAATCATAAAAAATCTGAAAAACAACAAATCCCCTGGAAGTGATAACATAACAGCAGAGATGATGAAATATGGTGGAAAACTGCTAAATAATTAAATATGCAAGATCAGAAAAGAGATATGGATAAAAGAACGAATACCAGAAGATTGGAAGGAAGCCATTATTTGTCCATTTCACAAAAAAGGAGACAAAACAGAATGCAGTAATTACAGAGGAGTAGCGTTACTAAATACCATATATAAAATCCTATCAAAATCGATAAAAGATAAGCTGGAAAAAGAAGCTGAAAATATAATAGGCGAATACCAGTGTGGATTTAGACGAGGGAGAAGCACAACGGACCAAGTATTCATAATAAGAGAGTTACAAGCAGAAAGCTATGAACACAACTTACCAACGATAGCGCTATTCATCGACTTCCAGCAAGCATACGACAGAATAAAAAGGAAGGAATTAAAAGAGACCCTTGAGGAACTAGGAGTTAGCAGAAAGTTGCGTAACATGATACATCTTACTTTAGAGAATACAGAAAACAGAGTCAAAGTCAACAATCATGCATCGGACAAATTTATAGTAAACGAAGGATTAAGGCAGGGCGATCCTTTGTCATCATTACTCTTCAATTTATGCCTAGAAAAAATAATGCGAGAAGCGAGAATTAATAGAGAAGAACTCCTATATCATAAAAGACACCAAGTTTTGGCATTTGCGGATGATATAGTGTTGCTGGCAAGAGGAAAAAAAGAGCTACAGGAGATAGTACAGAGAATAGTAAAAGCAGCAAAGAAAATGGAACTTTACATAAATGAAACTAAAACAAAATGTATGCAGTGGACAGATGATCAGTTTAGGGATGGACAAAAGTTGAAAGTAGAAGTAGAAGAAAGATTATAATACGAATTCGAAATGGTGGAAAGATTTACATACCTAGGTACAATAATATCACGTAAACCTAACATTAAAGAAGAAATACAAGCTAGAATAATGGCAGGCAATAGAAGTGTACATGCTCTTAGTGGAATGTTGAAAAGCAAGTTTTTATCAAAAAAGGCAAAAATACAGTTATACAAAACAACTATACAACCAATAGCAACATACTGCAGTGAGACGTGGACAATGACAAAAAATGAACAAAATCTACTGGAGATATGGGAAAGGAAAATCTTGAGGAAGATATATGGAGGAATAATAAGGGACGGTTTATGGATAAGAAGATCAAATAATGAATTAAAGAAATTATATAATCAATCTAACATAATAGGAGTCATAAAGGCACAGAGACTAAGATGGTGAGGTCACCTAGAAAGGATGCCAAACACGAGGACTCCAAAAAGGGTACTAAACTACAATATAACTTTAAAAAAGAGAAAAGGAAGGCCAAAAAATAGATGGAATCAGGAGGTAGAAAAAGATATGGAAGAAATTGGACTAGACGGCCAGAAAAGAAAAATGAATAACAAGAAGAAATGGAGAAAAGTCACATATCGAGCCAGAGAAGATCTCAGTACATAAAGGAAAGCGAAAATGAAGAAAGAACAAAATTATTTAATCCATGGGCCTCTAAGGCCTTTAGTGCTATTGTATATATATATATATATATATATATATATATATATATATATATATATATATATATATATATATATATTTCGAAAACACACTTAGAACTGAATTGAACTAACTTAGTAGAATTAACTAATTATTAGTTGTTACAGTTACAAATTGAAAGTCGCACGGGCGTTGGGGAAAACTAGAATTATATAATATATTTCTATAACTGTAAAGGTATATTCTAGATACACTTTTAATATTAAAACAATTGTTTATAGGACTTAAAGAATTTGCTTTAATTTACAAAAATTAGTAAACAATTTTTGGCTGATTTTTAAGAAAAATCTCACACTGTCAATATAAATGATGGTAGTGAGTTTATTTATATTACCTATAATAATATACTAATATTGTGTTTAGTTATACTCACCCCCGGTCTGAATCAAATAAAACCCATATAGATATGTATTTGTTACAGTTTTTTCTAGCTAAATCAGGAAATTATCCGTATCATTTATATAAAAATATATTATATAAAATATTACCTTAATATATCAGCCATATCTGTCAATCTGACATTTTGTCATGTTCTAACTGTGGTTACAACCGATACGACACAAATTATATTATGCCAAATTAAATTAAATAATCATAGACATTATAATATGTTTATGAAAAAAATGGACAAATAAAATATTTCACGATTTAAAGATTAATCCGGTGAATTATTATATGTAACCCGAATCCTATTAAGATAAAATTATGAGGATGATGAAAATTTTGATAATTACATGATTACATCGATTGTAATGTAAATAATAGTTGTAAGGCAGAATTATTTTTATGCGTAAAAATTATTCAAGACCATGCGGTTCTACCTTTCAAAGGGTTATTATCATAATATTTGGATTTTTAATATCCCTAAAAACTATTAATCCTTTCGTAGCATAATTATTATTTATGATACTATGACTCTATACTAGAGCCCCGACCTTTTCAAGTTACTTTCACTAGTCAGCCTTATCTTTGGCAAACCGTTGTCTTTGCTGGACCTATTTGTCTAGATCATCATCTACATCATCCTTGCATCTAAGTTTTGCCTACCTCTTTGTCTACTTCTTAGCACCTGTGGCATAAGGATTAATCTAGCAGACTTTTTCTGCTGTGATATTGTTAGATGTTTTACCCATCTTAATTTTGCTATTTTTATGAGAGATATCACGTCTTTACTACCAGATATCCGTATTCTCCAAATACCATTTTCACGGTATATCGAATATTTCTCTTAGGATTCTTTGTTTAAATATGTGCTTGATGTATAGACGTTTTGTATATTGTTATTTCGATTTTCTGGCTTAAATATCTCCATTACGTGTCTCTACGCAGTCCAAAATAACACTTAGTTGCTAAAATTATTTTTTTGATTGATTGTTTTCGTCGTAAAGTTGAAGTTGTTGTTAGGAGCCCTAAGTATGTAAATTTGTTCACCACTACAGAGCTAAAGTTATCAAGTTTTAATTAATAAAATTGTAACTATTTTAAAAACTAATAACTTTATGCTTCTAATTCCCTATACATATTGGCCATATTTAAAAAATATTTAAAAATGCTTGAATATATAGGGTGTTCTATTTAAAAAACACAACTTTGTTTTATTCCGTTGTTCTGAACGACCCTGTATAATTAAAAATAATTTAATACTATAGAAGTCTTTGTAATACATCAGTTTTGTTTAAAACATTTTTTTATAAACTCCACAGTTTAGCCATAATAGAAAAAGTCTGAGATTTGGCGCATCCTGTATATATACAAATGTGCTTTGTGTTCTTCCTTCCACAACAATTGATTCCACAAAATATACGTTTCTTAATCCACATGATTAAGTTCTTAGTTTGACTAAGAGCTTAATAAAATTGGCTAGTAAAATGCTCAGTTTTCTTTTTCGTAAAGGTATATATTGTTTTATTCAGTCCATACGTGACAAATTATAAAGCTATTACTTAATGTATTTATATTAATATACACGAACTATAGACACACTCTTAATCATAACCTAAGTAATATTACTACCGTTAGTGACCCAATCTAGTGTTCGTGTGTGCGTCTTTTATACTTAGAAATTTTATTTTCTTTTTTACACGACTTTATGCGACTAGTCATTAAAACACACAATGCTAATATCCTGCAATATAAATAAAAAAATAATAAATACAACATAAATTACCACATGACTTAAATGGTTTGCACATTAATTACCAGTTAAAAAATTATTGGTATAAACAAAGGAAAGGTCAATACGCCAAGATAGTATACAGAATGGTTATAAAAGCAAATTTGAAATCATTTCGAAAGCCGATTAAAGAAAGCATTGCTGTACTGGTTCGCCGAATGCGAAGAAAATAAAACAAAATAAAATATTTTAAGAACCTTCTCAATTATATAGTTTTTTTCAATTCGGTTCATGCCAATCCACCGACTAAAGAATTTAAAAAATCAATATATAAAATATAACTAAAATATAACAATGATTTTAATTCTCATCGAGCTAATACTAAATAAAATATTTTTAACATTAAATAAATATAATTTCAGAGGATTCACATTAAAAGCCATTTATATATTATACTTTATTTTATTTTACTTTATTACGAAACACGAATGGGACGACTGTGAGCGAATGTGTCTGGTCGCTCGATCTGTCGTATATATATATATATATATATATATATATATATATATATATATATATATATATATATATATATATATATATACAATAAATACTGGATATTCGTGACTGTCAATTTAAACAAACAACAAAGTTTATTGGGGCTGCAGTCAGAAGTTTGGCCGGGATGTTACAGAAACACTCTTTTGACTTTTAATCTAGCTTTCGGAATTATTTAATTCCTTTATCAAGACACTGTAATTAGAAAAATGTGTAAATATTTACAATATATCACAAAATGTCAGTGTACTTACTAGTCGTTGAGTTTATTTGTATAAAAGACAAAGACATCAAAAATGACACAAAGACTTACTTGTACATATACACACCATAATACACCTGCATGCTAAACAGGTTGCATACCATCAACACAGGTTTAATACATTACCTTTTATTAATAACATATGAAGAACTCCTAATGAATTTTTAATCATACTATTTTTATTTTTGTTTTTTTTTATTCTCTATGGTAAGTTAAAATACACCAAGAAGATGTAGAAAACGAATTTTTAGAACTTTTATTATTTTTAACTGAATTTTAAAATGTATTGTATCCATTATTGTATAAGTTATAGTTTATATGTTTCTTATTAATGTTGAGTGTCATAGCTTCTTACAAATAATCTCAACGACTAGTATCTAAGTACACTGACATTTTGTGATATATTGTAAATATTTACACATTTTTCTAATTACAGTGTCTTGATAAAGGAATTAAACAATTCCGAAAGCTAGACCAAAAGTCAAAAGAGTGTTTCTGTAACATCCCGGCCAAACTTCTGACTGCAGCCCCAATAAACTTTGTTGTTTGTATATATATATATATATATATATATATATATATATATATATATATATATATATATATAGGCTATTCCACGAATATACGACTGTTTTGGTTTACTGCGACAACGAATATTTTACTGTGCAAGTAGAAGTAGGTCAATTGGTCTAATCATTATTCCGATAAAAAGGGTCTACTAGTATGACATCTAAACTAAAATTATTTCAGTTAAAATCTACAAATAAATACAATGACGTCTATGAAGCCAAATGTGTTCATCAGACATTTGGGTAAGCTTTCCGTGAAATGTAAACACCAAAGAGGCGTGCCGAGTTTGTTTGATATAACACATTTTATTACTTTATTAGGTATTACAACTGTAATAAAAAGAAATATACTATTTTTAATATAAATGAAAAGAAATTGGCAGAACGATGGTTCACAAACCAGAAAAAGGATCGAATATTTCACTTTGTTAGTTTTAAATATTTGTTTGCTTTGAGTTTATGTACTCTTAAAAGTTCCGAAAGTAACGGGTATAACATACCGGCTATTGGTAGTTAAAGTACCGAGTCGTTACAGATATTAAAAAGTAACGAAACTTTATATACAGTTTCATATATCGCCGACTGATTATGGCTGTAAATTTGATCGTTGATGAATGTTTTAGAAGGTTAAGAGAATAAGTGAATAAGTAAGTTTTTTCATATTTAAATCTAAGGTATATCTGTCGTCACAGTATTTTAAAAATGGGGAGAATTTACTATTGTACAATTCAGTACATTGGACCATTTAAATCGACACCTTAAAGCGAATTTAAAACAGTCGTATATTCGTGGAATGGAGTATATATATATATTTATATATATATATATATTATATATATATATATATATATATACCTACAATAGATATTTCAACGAAAGAATTGGATACAAACGAAACTCAACTTCAGAGTAGATACCTCTTTTTCTTCTTCTTTTTATGTAGAATGAATCTGTCTGTTTTTCAATGTGCCTCTAGTAAGTTGTAGTTCCATTGTTTTCGTGATCTTTGTAATGATCGTTTTCCTATTGGAAAACCGTCTCTTGCCCTCTTTACTACTATTTGTTATCGTTCGGCTTACATAATCGTTCCATTCTAATATTCTATTTCTTATCCAGTTCTTGATGTTCTCCACCTTGCATCTATGTCGTATATCTGTACTTACTGTAGATATCGTTGGCATATATTTTGTTCATTAGTAATGTTAAAGTCTAACACTAACACTATTTACGTTAATAAATTTCAGCATTTTTTCGTATATTGCGTCTCTTTCTACAATTTTGCATTGCCAATTTAACTTTAACCAATTCACTTTTGCTTTGGCCCATTTGATCCATTTTTGGCGACAAAGTGTCGGTATTTTTTGTTGTGTATATATTTGGATAAATTAGTAATTGGTTCTCACTCGTCAGATATTATTTTCATTTAAATATACTTTTAATTCTAAGTAATTGATTAATTGTCACACAACTATAAGGTATAATCCTTAATTGGGTTAAGTATGTTTACAGTGTTTAAAAAAACTAGCTTTTAGATTCTTGTATCAAAATAAAATAAAAAACCGGAATAATAAAATGTTAAAATTCATAATTATAATTCTAAGATTTATGCAATGACACAAGGTAAACCTGAATATGGTAATAAAGAGGACAACATATTACCAATTATAATTAATACGTTTTATGCTGCATTCCTATTTTGTCAGCTAAAAAACATATTTTTTTCTAAATGTCTACTAACAAAAAAAGAATTTAAAATTTGTTTAAAAAACCATATTACATGAATGTTTCTAGATAGTACAAACAAAACCTGAAAATTCCATGAGGATAGCAACACGTAGGATGGAGCAAGAAGACTTCCTTTTTATTACCTTCGTAAATCTGCTTAAGTACTTTAACTCCAAATTTCGATTACATAAACCCAAATTTAGTTGATATTTTTAAATAAATACTATTTGTATTCTCCGATGCCTTGGAAGTTCTACTGATTATTTAGTAGTTTTCGACAGTTAGTTATTTCGGATTTATATATCTCT